GAGAGAGGACCAGGCCTGGACTTTATTTTGTGTTTTGGTTTTGTTTGTGCGCGACAGTCGTCCGCGAGGGGCTGTCGTGCTATTTTGTGTTTGTTTATTTTATTAAAGTTGTGTTGAAGTGTTTGCCGGTTCCCGCCTCCTTCTTCCCGAACTACGAACGTTGTTACAGGACATAAAAATAGTCAACACAACTTATGAGCTACATTTCAACTCTTCTGAAGCAATCAGGCCAAACTTTTACTTGTTTTTCACTGATAATCTTTACTTCCAGTAACCAGATCAGTGAATGAATGAATCAAGCTGATTCTGTGGCCTGGATCAAATGATTCATTTAAAAGATTCAACTTCTAATTCTAGAATCCTTCTTTTGATCAATAAATCGCTTGATCACTACTTGTCTAATGAACTCTCATGAATGAGCCAAGGTGGATTTTCAGTGAATAAAACACTTACATTTTGGCCTCCTCCTCAAGCAAATCAATCATATAACTTTAGAAGACTTAGGGTGCTTTCACACTTGGTTCGCTTGCCTGGTCCGAACCAGAGTTCGATTGCTCCCCCCTCCCCCTGACCCCGCTGTACTGCGTTCATATTATTTTATTTGGGTCCGAACCGCGGTTGGTTTGCAAGCCAGCAGCTGTTTACCCCGTTGCTTAGTAAAAATGTGTGTTTGTGTGTGTGTTTCACTCACTTTGCTGACGAGTGTGACTGACGCACTGCAAACAGAGAGCTGAATATCTAATTTCTGTATTTTTCTTTATTTAAGTTTCTTTTTAATATCTGTAATCTTCTCTTTCTCAGCGTCGTGCATTGCTGCCGCACGCTGGTTTATATGCTGCACGAGTCCTCATATATATTCGTTTGTGTTATCCAGGTACATGCTTTATTGTTATATGTTCTTAAAATGTGTTTTTGTGAAAGTATATTGCCCCAGTCTGCATGAGACGTCACAGCGCGTCGTGCATTGCTGCCGCACGCTGGTTTATATGCTGCACGAGTCCTCATATATATTCGTTTGTGTTATCCAGAATAAATGAGGACCTGATGGAAAGAATTTTTGCAGTCTGTCTTTCGTTTCGACACAACGCAGAAAACACACCGCTACAAAAGCACAATTAGAATAAAGCGAGCGACTCCCTTGAACCCCTTTTATGACACTCTAATGGTGTTTATTTGTCATTTTGACCTTGTCCACTTTCATTATAATAAAAAGAATATTTTTTAGTCTGAAAAACACTTTCAGAAAGACTTTATATGATGAATGTTGTGTCTGACCTGTTGAAGAGGTTGTTTCTGGAAACCATCCTCAAGAAGCCAGTCGGGTCGGTCACTGAGTTGAGTTTATTATCGAGTTCTTCAAACTGCTGGTCCAAAAGGTCTCCAGCTTCGCTCTCCGTCTCGCTGCTCGAACAAGCTCTGAAACACCAAACATAATGTGATTTATTCAAGTAACAAGTGTTACAGTGATTTTACCACAGTTGAGGGAAGCTGTTGGGTACAAAACATGGTACAATCACTACAGAGTAACTCGGCTTAATTGCTTTTTTGATGAAAAAACAAGTTCAATTAATAATTTCATGATGTAAAACTAACAATGAAACAATAAGCATCACGTCTGCCAAATAATATAGTCAATTATTCAACAAGACTCTGAAATACTTGTTTCTACTGACTCATTTGTGTCTATTTTTTATTTCTCTGACACAACATTTCAATGAAACATAACTGGTAACTCAATTAAGTTTTCTCAGCTATGAAAGCACAACATCTGAGGAATGAAATGCTCCCACTTATCAATACCACTGTCAAACACACTCGCTTTTATATCCAGACATGCACATGTTTGTTGACTTTTCATTCACAGTGTCCATTGAGATGCAACGCAAAATAACAGAAACAATTTTATAAACGACCAAACAAGTCGAGCACAACGGCAGCCACAATCACAGATAATTACTCACGAGTCTCTCTGCATCTGGGGAACACTTGAGCAAATTTCTCTGATTAGCTTTAATGAAAAAACAGATCTCTCCAGTAATCTGACTCATCTGAGACGACACACTTGGATTCTTCTATTGGGTTAATACGTTTTATCCACCTCACCTCGATTACACACAAAACGCGCTTCGTTTGCACCTAATGCACGACGCAGATGTTCCGCTGATTATTTTGGACACATTATCAGATGGCATTACAACATGTCGATGTGAAGAGATTCGAATGCTCTACAGACGTCTGAATAGCTCGTTAGCATGTGTTTGTTTAAGAACTTTGCTCTGAGAATGAAAGGGAACGTCTTCCCTATTTCTCAAAATATAACTTTATATATCTCATATTACTGTATGCACAATGTCATCTGACTTCATATCTAACATTATGATTTAATAAATCTCAAAATATGACATATCTCACAATGAATTCATATATCACATGATGAATTAATATCTCAAAATATGAACATATAGCATAATATTAATATACATCTCACAATGACTCCATATATCTCAAAATATAGCTTTATATATCTCATATTGTAAATACATACAAACATCACATGGCATTATATCTCACATTATGACTATATATTGCATAATATTACTATATATCTCACTATATGGCATTATTTCTAAATTACTTTATATATCTCATAATACTATACATCTCATGACTATATATCTCATACTACTACATACATCTCAATATATATCTCACACTGACTTAACATTTCTCTAAATATGACTATATCTCATAATATTACTATATATCTCACAATACAACTTCATATTTTACATTAACTTATTATTTCTCAAAATACAGCTGTATCTCGTAATATTACTATATGTCTCATAATATGACTAATCTCACATTGACTTAATATTCCTCAAAACAGGATCATGTATATTGCATAATATTACTATATATCTCACAATGTGGCTTTATCTCAAAATGTAACATTAAATATCTCATATTCCTATGAATATATATCGTATGACTTCAGATCTCACATTTATTTCATATCTCAAAATATGACTTTAAATCTCACAATATGACTTAATGTTTCAATATATGACTTAATATATCATAATTTTATTATATATCTCAAAATGACTTACGTCAAACTATAACTTTATATATATCATATTACTATGAATATATATCATATGATTTAATATCTCAAATTTATGTCATATCTCAAAATACGACTATATATTTCACAATATGACATAATATCTCAAAATATGACTTAATATATCTCATAATGTTACTTTATATCTCACAATATGACTTATCTTAATACATTTGAATTCTCTACAGACGTCTGAATAGCTCGTTAGCGTGTGTTTGTTTAAGCACTTTGCTCTGAGAATGAAAGGGAACGTCTGCTAATCCTCTTCCCTAGATTTCTGAACTATTCCAAGATGTCAGAGCACCAGCATTCTACTCATTTTGCATCCTTTATCTCTGCAAACATGTTCTGGCGTCCGTTGCACTCCCTCTTGAGACGGAAGCCATCCCAAATCCTGTTGAAATGTTAATTGAATTCTTTGTCACGGTACAACACTGTAGGACGGGAATAATCTCATTTTGGTGCCAACCAGAAATGAAAAGCACCAGAGGAGCCGGAGAAAGAGATCTGCTTTTCATATATTTGTGCTTAAAGTGACAGACTTTGAACCAGTTGTGGGGCGAGCGCTTGCATCTGCGACGTCCACGTGCTTTCCTGCACCTGAGCTGCTGTGGATGTGGATGCAGCCGCAGACGGATCTGTTTGGGAAGCGTGCTTTGGAAATGAAGATGGCTCAGATGTGGAGACAGTGCCGTGGGCTGCGTGTGGCAGGCAGAGATATGCGAGGATGCTCTGAAAGGAAAACCTTCCTATAGTGAGAGACTCTCTAACCTGATCAGGTAGGTTAACTAAGGTTGTTCACACTGGGTCTGAGATTGATTACGCCTCCGGAGTAACACCGTGAGCGCAGGCGGAAGCTGTTTACACGCTGTCTGCGGCGGATGCGTTTGAAAGCCATTACTGCTGAGACAAGCAGCAATAAGAATGCATTAGTCTATAATATGCAAATTATAAATCATCACAGCAGTTTATTTCTGCAAATTAGGCCGAATTGGTTTATGAACCATAACTCAGACCACAGCTTTAATGACAAACAAACCACTTATGATATAGACATGAATGATTCCTCAAATCATGTGTCTTGTTGAAGAGAGGATGATAGGGCTTATGTTTTTCACCTGCTGGATAATAAAACAAGCAATATACCTCATAATGTTACTATATACCTTACATTATGACTTCATGTATCTCATAATGTTATGATATACCTTACATTATGACTTCATATATCTCGAAATATGACTTTATATATCTTGAAATGTGATTTTCATCTGCTTCAAAGTTCCTTTCTCAAATTAATATGTGACCCTGGACCACAAAACCAGTTATAACGGTCAATTTTTTGAAATTGAGATTTATACATCATCTGAAAGCTGAATAAATAATATTTCCATTGATGTATGGTTTGTTAGGATAGGACAATATTTGGTCGAGATACAACTATTTGAAAATCTGGAATCTGAGGGTGCAAAAAAATCTAAATATTGAGAAAATCATCTTTAAAGCTGTCCAAATTAAGTTCTTAGCAATGCATATAACTAATCAAAAATTAAGTTTTGATATATTTACGGTAGGAAATTTACAAAATATCTTCATGGAACATGATCTTTACTTGATATCCTAATGATTTTTGGCATAAAAGAAAAATCGATAATTTTGACCCATACATTTATTTACTATACACAAATTGTATTTTTGGCTATTGCTACAAATATACCCCAGCGACTTAAGACTGCTTTTGTGCTCCAGGGTCACATATCTCATTACTATACAGTATATCACATAATATCACTGCATATCTTACAACATGACTTCATATATCACATTATGAATTATTTCTTAAAATATGACTTTATATATCTCATAATATTACTATATATCTTACAGTGACTTCACATATCTGATAATATAACTATACATCTCATAATATGATTTCATATCTCAAAATATTACTTGATATCTCAGATTATGACTATACATCAAAATGTGACTATATATCTCATAATATTACTATATATATCACAAATCTCACGACTTCATATCTCACATTTTGATTTCATATCTCAGAATATGACTATATTTTCCATAATATTAATATATATCTCACAATATGGCTTTATCTCAACATATGACTATATATCTCATAATATTATATACATTTTGCAACTGACTTCACATCTCACATTATGACTTAATATTTATGTACATATTACTATACTGTATATCTCACATTATTACTTATATCTCACAATATGACTTTTGAATAAATATGACAATACTTCACATTGACTTTATATATCTCATAATATTATCTCACAATATGACTTCATATAATGTATCTTGAAATATGACTTTATACAGCTCATAATATTACTATACATCTCACAATGTGACTTCATCTTAAATTGACTATATCTCATAATTTTACTATATATCTAAGTATATCTTTACATATCTTGAATTATGACTTTACAAACTGTATCTCAAAATATGACATTGCATTTTCTTAATAGCAACATAGACTTAATAGCTCCTATTTTGACTCTATATATCTTCCAACATGACATACTTTGTTGTATTAAACCTTATCTCATAATTCAATTTCTACTCAGAGGTTTAAACAGGCTAACATATCCAATCCATATCTAGAGACCAGAATATCATACTTGGGCTCATTTGCACCTAGCAACTATACAGCAACATCCTGGCAACCACCCTTCACGGCGGTGAGCTGTCACATGAACAATCCTGCTGAAACTGTGGAAGTCGTGGCCTAATGGTTAGAGAGTCGGACTCGTAACCCAAAGGTTGCGGGTTCGAGTCTCGTACCGGCAGGGATTGTAGGTGGGGGAAGTGAATGTACAGCGCTCTGCCCCCAACTGCTCCCCGGGCGCCGCAGCAAAAAAAAGGCTGCCCACTGCTCCGGGTGTGTGTTCACGGTATGTGTGTGTTCACTGCTGTGTGTGTGCACATTGGATGGGATAAATGCAGAGCACTAATTCCGAGTATGGGTCACCATACTTGGCCACATGTCACGTCACTTTCACTTAATCACAGAATTATGCTGATGAATCTTACGAGCGGCACTCCAGTCAACACACACACACACGGAAGGGTGCAAGAGGTCTCGCTAAACGAGCCATAATCGCTCATATTGCAGCCGGTCGCGGGTATCACAATTCCTGTTCGTGCCTCTTTCTTTCTGCACAATGAATGGGGTCTTCAAAGGTGGCATATTGCACCCAACCAAGTGGAAAAGATTGCTCGCAGCCCCTCAGTCAAGCGCTAAATTATCCTTTAATGGGCAGGGATGAGCGCAGAGCTCTCTGGGAGAAGCCATCACACCTCTAGTGACTAATGCGCTGGCACCGGCATGAAAGAATCGCGGCTTTCCACGCGCGTACAATAATGGCCTTTGTTTCAGGCTACTGCTTAATTCACACCAAGAGCTTCTGACGTTCTGCCATCCATCTCTCTGCATTCTGCTCCTCCAAACCTGCCAGCGTCTTCACCTAATTACATGTCAGAGTTAACTCAACACTGCAGCACTGAAACCTCCATGTGAGAGGTGAATAACTCCTCAGCTGCCACCCGGTTAGCGCCACAGAGCCAGAGATCAGTGCGGTGTGGCCTCCAGCCCTGCTGCGGCATATGACAGCATTGGTGAGCGCTGAGATGTGCTTCCTGCGGGGCATGTATGCGCACACATGCACACTCCACCCCGCTGCGCTCAACGCTTCTAACCAACATGACCGCATCCATCAGGGTATATTTAGGAGGTTGCAGACATTCACACTAACATGAGCACAGCTGCATTCTGCAGCACTTTTACTGTAATATTTTATTGAGAAAAGCATATTCTTATATCGTGCCTTTTAACATAGCCATCCATATTTTATAAAACCATAAAACAAACAAAAGTAGAGAGATTTAACAAGACGCTATACTTAGTTAATTTTCTTTTATTTTACAAATCCTTGAAGATCAAAGGGAGATTTTAAATTTTGTTAAATGTTTTGCAAACATATATTTGCAAAGTTTAAACATTACAAAAATGATCTTAACAAATCATATCATAATATCTAACAACGAATACAATACTATTTTAAATATTTTTTCATAATGAGCAACCACCTAGCAACACCTTAGAAACCACCACACACACGGAAGGGTGCAAGAGGTCTCGCTAAACGAGCCATAATCGCTCATATTGCAGCCGGTCGCGGGTATCACAATTCCTGTTCGTGCCTCTTTCTTTCTGCACAATGAATGGGGTCTTCAAAGGTGGCATATTGCACCCAACCAAGTGGAAAAGATTGCTCGCAGCCCCTCAGTCAAGCGCTAAATTATCCTTTAATGGGCAGGGATGAGCGCAGAGCTCTCTGGGAGAAGCCATCACACCTCTAGTGACTAATGCGCTGGCACCGGCATGAAAGAATCGCGGCTTTCCACGCGCGTACAATAATGGCCTTTGTTTCAGGCTACTGCTTAATTCACACCAAGAGCTTCTGACGTTCTGCCATCCATCTCTCTGCATTCTGCTCCTCCAAACCTGCCAGCGTCTTCACCTAATTACATGTCAGAGTTAACTCAACACTGCAGCACTGAAACCTCCATGTGAGAGGTGAATAACTCCTCAGCTGCCACCCGGTTAGCGCCACAGAGCCAGAGATCAGTGCGGTGTGGCCTCCAGCCCTGCTGCGGCATATGACAGCATTGGTGAGCGCTGAGATGTGCTTCCTGCGGGGCATGTATGCGCACACATGCACACTCCACCCCGCTGCGCTCAACGCTTCTAACCAACATGACCGCATCCATCAGGGTATATTTAGGAGGTTGCAGACATTCACACTAACATGAGCACAGCTGCATTCTGCAGCACTTTTACTGTAATATTTTATTGAGAAAAGCATATTCTTATATCGTGCCTTTTAACATAGCCATCCATATTTTATAAAACCATAAAACAAACAAAAGTAGAGAGATTTAACAAGACGCTATACTTAGTTAATTTTCTTTTATTTTACAAATCCTTGAAGATCAAAGGGAGATTTTAAATTTTGTTAAATGTTTTGCAAACATATATTTGCAAAGTTTAAACATTACAAAAATGATCTTAACAAATCATATCATAATATCTAACAACGAATACAATACTATTTTAAATATTTTTTCATAATGAGCAACCACCTAGCAACACCTTAGAAACCACCTAACAACACTCTAACATCCCGAACACCCTAGAAACCACTTAGCAACAACCTGACAAACAGTAAGAACACCACAGCAACCACCTAGCAATGCTCTAACATCCAGTACACCCTTGAAATCACCTAGTAACAGTCTAACAAACACTAGGAACACCCTAGCAACCACCTAGCAACGTTCTAACTTCCAGTAAACACTTGAAATCACCTAGCAACAGTCTAACAAACACTAAGAACACCATAGCAACCACCTAGCAATGTTCTAACATCCAGTACACACTTGAAATCACCTAGCAACACCCTAACAAACACTAAGAACACCATAGCAACCACCTAGCAATGCTCTAATATCCAGTACACCCTTGAAATCACCTAGCAACAGCCTAAACAACACTAGGAACACCATAGCAACCACCTAGCAACGTTCTAACATCCAGTACACTCTTGAAATCGCCTAGCAACACCCTAGCAAACAGTAAGAACACCATAACAACCACTTAGCAACACTCTAACATCATTACATCATTCCAGAACACCTTAGCAACAACCTAGCAATGTACTAACAAACATCTAGTACACCCCAGCAACGTGTGATTCAGGCATTCACCTGCTGTAGTATGAGTCCAACCCCAGAGCTTCCCGCGCGTTAGCAATGTGCTGCTCCAGAGACGAGCCTCCACAGCCACCCCCCGCGGGCACAGAGCCTCCGCTGCCCTCCTGGAAGTCTGACGTGCCGCCATCCGACGCTCCCTCACCCAGATACACCTCATGAAACTTCAAGATACCTGTGAGACAGAGAGCAAAGCTCATGGTGATTTGGACAGAGACAATCTCTGAAATTAAATACACTTTGATTATGTTAATTAGTATTATTATTGTTAAATGTAATTGCTGCTGGTGATGTTTTATAAAAGCAGTAAGCCATGAGCGGTTACAAATAACAGTGATTTCACCATGGTAAAGGAGTCTAATCTTAAAATGATCAAACTTAAAGGTCAGATGTAAGACAATCATCAAGAAGAGTTCAGCCGAACCGAACGCTCTCAAACTCCTGAGAGCATCAGTGCTTCAGACATAAAGCGCGTGCTTTGTGTATTAATGAAGATAGAATACCATATAGAGCCACACAAGAGTCAGGATCAAGGTCAGCAGTCTCCTGCGAGAGGCTGAAATCTAGTTAGGTGAATATTGTAAATGAGCAAAAGCACTCCCCGCTTTCAGACATATGTCTGTTTGATTACGTGAGCTTGTCTTTCTGTTACAGACGTCAAGGTTTGAATAATTAAATGAGCTTCAAGTCCAGAAAGATGCAGACGTGTTCAGTCGTGTGTGAGTGTCCAGTGTATACTAAAACTAAGACGAAAATGATTATTTCAAAGTTTTCTCAAAACTTACGAGAATCAGATATGTTTATGAAAAAAATCTGAAACTAAAAGAATGTTGCATAAAACATATATATATATATATATATATACACACACACACACACACACACACACACGCTTTTTGCTATATTGTTATATATTTAAAATGATAAAAAAATCAATAAAATGTAAATGCAATATACACTTTTATGAAGAAAAAATACAAATAAAAATCAATATATATATACCGTATGTCCATAAATGTTATATACATATACTTTAAAGAAAAGATACATCACAAATACATAAAAACATATATTTAATTTATTTGATTATTTTATGTATATTCAGTTTTTATTATATAAATATATATATATATATATATATATATATATGTGTGTGTTTCACGTGTGTGTGTGTGTGTGTGTGTGTGTGTGTGTGTGTGTGTGTGGTTGTGAGGGTGGGATTATGGAGGCAGGTGGTACTGCCGCTTTGCGTTAATTCACAGCTTTTTACCAGCTTCACCAAACAGCAGGCGGCACAATGAAGCCACGGGGAACAGAAGGTGTGAGGAATACGACAGCGACAAACACACCGATCAACTGAGCGTGCATGCGTGTGTGTCACTGCACGCTATTTTCCTGAAACTGAAAATTTGAGCAAATAATTGTTTCTTTGTTGTAGGATTTCGTTCTGTTTCCAACTTGCACATTTTGCTTGAAAAATGACAAGAGTCAGAAAAATAAGATGAACTAAGCTAAGCTAAAATACAATAAAAAATAAAATTAACTGAAAATAATATTCTGTATAGATAGTTTGAAAAATATTCAATATATACATATGCAGAGCTCTTTAATTTTGTTGTCCTGTGTTTCTAACTTGTCCTTGCTATATTAACAAATATGCACATTTTATTTGGAAAAATATGAACATGAAGTCTGTGACCTTAAAAAAAAATCATACTCATCTAGTTTAGCTTAAGATGGTGTAATGCAATTTTTAACACTTCAAGATGCATTTTGTCAAATGAAATGCTTAAAATCGAACAGAAATGTGCTTTTAGAATATGAGAAAGGTATCAGTTTCACAGAATAGTGTGTGTGACGGCCTCAGCCTTATTGATCTGCTAGTGTAAATGTGAGCGGCAGGGCTGTGTGTGGTGTTGGTCTGTGTTCAAACAGACAGACAGCGTCTCAGCGTGTCTCCGGATCGGGCTCTGATGAACTGTTCAGATGTGTGCTGTGTCTGTCTGACACCTCCGTCACCCCACACCCACATCACCGCCTCTACACACACTAACCACACACCACACACTACTGCACTCTTAGTCTTTAACCTGTGTTAGGATCCTACGATTTCCACGGAAAACACAGACAGAATCATGGAATTCAGTTATAGAATGGAATTTACTCTAGAATGTGGAATGCCACAGAATTTGGCAAATTTTGGATAAATAAATCAAAAGTAGACCTGTTCAATTGATCAACTCACAATATGGTCTAGTGTCCATAAAAAAATTTAAAAAAAAAAACATAAAAATGAAAAGAAACAACACAGTTTTGCTGAAAAAATAAATAAATAAAACATTCCATAGGGCCCTATTATTGTAAAAAGTAATAAATAAATTAATAAATTAAATAAAGTAATAAATTATTACATTGTTAAAGTAATGAATTGAACTGATTAGACGTGTTTTGATTATTAAAATTTATTAAAGCATTATAACAGAATCCAGATAAATTAAAATGGAAAAAAGAAAATTTGGGGGAAAAAAAAATAATTTCATAAGGCCCTAAAAATGCTATTTTGTCAAACTTTTAATAAATTGTTGTTAAACTGTATAAGTTTCATGATTTCCATTAATTAGACATGCTTTTTGATTAACAACATTTAATTGCAAAATAGGAAAAAAAAAAATGGAATCCAGGAAAATTAAAACGGACAAAAACTAAATTCTGGGGGGGGAAAAAAGAATTCATAGGGTGCTAAATTTTTTTGTTGTTGTTAAACTTTTAATAAATTGTTGTTAAACTGTTTAACGCATGCTTTGCATTTGTTTACTAAAATGTATCTGGAAAAAAGACAAAAATTAAAAGTGACGTTTTGTCATTTAATTAATTAAACATGCTTTATGATTACTAAAATGTAATTGAAAAAAAAAAAAAAAAAAAAAAAACCCAAAAAATTTA